GAACACCGGAAAACCCGGAAAATATTTTTCGAGAGAATATTTTCCGCCAAACGAACGGAGCCTAAATTGGCAAATCTTTAAGAGGCTTGAGACCGAATTGATAAATTGTCAAAAGGTTTAGGACTAAATTAGCCAATTAAAATATTTATGACTGAATTGGCATAAGTATAATAGGTTTAGGATTTTTTTGGTAATTTTCCCTTTCTTTATCCATAGTATGAGATGAATCGCAAATTTATAATGAATAGATAACTTATTTTTAAAAAAATAATTGTATTTAATATTGAGGTTAAGAAATGTGATAAGTTGTCTTTTAAATAGCGACAATTATTAATCTTTACATTGTAATTCAAATTAAGTGGATTTCTTTGTTCCTTTCAAAAAATTAATGCAATAAATTTTTATATTAAAGTTATCGATTATCTTTTTACATGCCATATATCTTCATTTTGTACAATCTTAATTTCTTTCCAAAAATAAGTGACTTTCTACATCTTATTAATTTTCTCCATGACAAAACTAAATAAGTTATATAAGTGAAATAATAATTAAGAGCCACTATTAGGATGCGTTTGGTTGGACGATTTTAGACCTAAAGGACTTCCTATCAATATTGAGGTATTTGGCAATACAATTTCAAAGGATTTTGAGTCAAAGTCCGCATTTCCAAAGTCCGACCCAGTATAAGTCCCACCTAAAATTAATTTAATGGATTATTTTTCTAACTTTGCCCACGCTAATATTTTCTTTTTCCCTTTTGCCTTCACTAAATTATCTAATTTCAGTTTTACCCTCGCCCCAAACATGCTTTCTCTCTTTTCCCCTCTCTCCTCTACCTTGCCTCCACTGCACCCCCGCTTGACCCCACCGTCTCCGGCGAGTCCAATGCCGGACTCCAGGAGCGACCGCCACCACACCTTCCACTTCAAAGTTTGATTAACCTAGCAAAACGTAGCAGTCCAATCACCATAAATTCGAGCAAAAAAGACCAAGCCTCCATGGAATGACCAGGAGAGCCAACCTTCAATCTCAGGCTACATGACAATGAACTCCCACCTCCCCCAATGCCCCTCCACTCTTCTAGGGCTTGGGCGACCCTAAATTTGAGATTAGGGCTCTAGTCGAGCCTGGTTGAGTATGAGACTCGAGGCTCGTGCAAAATTTTGAGAATTGATGGCGGCAGCAAGCAAAGAAGAGGCTAAGTAGAGAGGTGAAGAAAGAGAAGGGGTTAGTGTCGCAACCTCGCTTCGGGTGATGCCATATGGGGCATCGCTGGAGGCGGCGGAGGCTTGGCTGGCAGTGCTTGTGTCGGTGGTCGGGTTTGGTGGTTGATTGGCGGTCGTGCACACTGCACAATGCGACTGCTGATGGCAAGTGGTAGTGGTGGAGACGAAGCTGCAAGTGAAGCAAAGAGAAAAGCATGGAAAAGTACCAAAAAAAGTCCTAAACTTATTGCATTGGTATCAATTTAATCATAAACCTTTCAATTAGACCAATTTAGTTTTAAATCCTTTCATATTAGTACCAATTCAATATATCCAGCCAATTTAGACTAGCGAGGGCATTGTAGCCCTTGCCAGCCATAGGCGAGGGCATCGTGGCTCTCGCCGGCCACAGCTGATGGCAGCCCACGCTAGATTCAATGAGGGTGACCCATGCCCAAGCTGCGAAGGTTGCCCCTGGCGAGGGCCGAGACGCCCTCACTAGCCATCGCCTGTGGCCGATCGTCGGCCATAGCTAAGTACTGACCAAAGGCAAATGGAATAGAAGGAAAAAATAAAGAAAGGAAAAAATAAAAATAAAAAGAAAGGAAAAAAATGAAAAAGAAAAAGGGAAAAATTGTAACAAAATTATTAAATATTATTAAAAATGTCCACGTCAGGGCTGGTCATCTACCAACTATGTCACGTAGGATGGTCGGCATCCACGTCAGCGATTTCTGGCCTAAATTGGCTAGATTGACTAAATTGGTACCAATATAAAAAGTTTTAAGACTGAATTAGTCCAATTGAAAGGTTTGGGATTGAATTGGTACCAATGCAACAGGTTTATGACTCTTTTTTATAGTTTTCCTAAGAAAAGTAGCAAGCACAAAGATAAAATTTAACTTATAACTTAGTTTAGATTTTAAAAGGTGAATTGATTAATATTTTTTTTATTAATTAAATCATATTATTCAAATAAAGTGGAATCATATGATTGACGTTTATTCATTATATTTTACTATTTGAGTAAAGTGAATAGGCTTATCAAATATAATTTTATCACATAATGTAGTAGGCATTACTTTATGTTATACTTATTTTTTTATTCATAACATGTATTATATGTTTCTACTTTTCTTTAAAGATGGAGCTTGTCATCTTTTAATATTCCTATCATGTTTAAGTAAAGTGAATTTATTTGTTAAGTAAAATATCAATCAAGTATTGAAAGAATATATATTTCATCAAGTTAATAAATATTTGGGTTAATACAACGAAATACCCAAAACTGGTACACATATAATAAATTTACCCAAAACTAATTTTTTGACCACCAGAAACCCCAAATTGGTACACCTGTAACATATTTACCGTAAATTAATTTTTTGACCACCAAAAACTCTAAACTGGTATACTTGTGACAAATTTACTCTCTATTAAATTGAATTAATATTATGAAAAATCATAAACTGGTAAATCTGTAACAAACAGAGGGGTAAAACCCTAAACTGGCACACCCATAAACTGCCATGTATCATCCAACTCAGTAAATTAACGATAAAATTTAATGGAAACTAACGGAGGGTAAATTTGTCATAGGTATACTGGTTTGGGGTTTTTAGTAAAAAATAATTTGTTTGAGATAAATTTATCACAAGTACACTCGTTTGGGGTTTTTTGTGGTATTAACCTATATATTTTTACACCCACCCATGGGTAGCTCAGTTGGTTAGGGCGTACTTGGGATTGTGTGGTTAGGCGCACTCATCCTAGGTTTGATTTCCCAGCTGAGCACTTGTGATTTAAGTGGGGGGCCATGGCGGTGGGTTGTTGTGCTAGTCTCCTCCGAGGAATAGTCGAGGTGCGCGCAAGCTGGCCCGGACACCTCGGTTACCAAAAAAAAAAAAACCTATATATTTTTACATATTGTGGTTTTTCAATTTTTTATGAATATATATAGTTAATTTTCTTATACTTTATTCTAATGTAATTTTCAAATCGAGTTAATAGAAAAATTAAATAATTATAGTTCAAATTATGTATAATATATCTACTATTTACATATACTATTTAGGTAACTGTATAGTTTACTAGCATTAGTTGTATTCGGAATAACCTACATTATCAATACTATTGACGTAATAAGATATATTTCTCCTTTACTTTTTTTTTGTCAAAATATTTCTCCTTTAGTTCAAATTTACATTAAATGGATAATCTCACTATGATGAGTTATATTCAAAATAATATATCTGAAAAAATTTATTTCAAGATATTTTCTCTTTGTGTATCTTTTTCGAATTTCATATGCAAAAGAAAATCTTTCAAAATAATAGAATTTATTTTATTGTGACGAGCTTTATTCAGAATGACATAAATTATTATAATAAATTTCCAGATATTTTATCTTTAATTTAAAATCAAAATAGATAAAAAAAAATTGGTGAACAACAAATAAATTAGATAAAGTTGTATTAGTTAAATTTGGACAATATGGCAAAACGATGCTTAGTTCTACCATATATAATAAATGATAGATAAAACATCTAACGATCGATTATTTTCACACTCATTTTAAAATAGGGTCGGTGTATTTCCACCCGCATACAACTAAATTTATCAATTTTCGCTAAAGAGATATAACTGCTTTGAATCATTCAGTTGGAAGCTAAGGTGATGGTCCCTAACTTTATTCACTTTCTTGCTTTTCTTAGTATTTTCCAATTCAATGTACTAGTTGTCATAATTGAGAATATCATATGTTTTGTTGTTCTTTTTTCAATTTATAAATGGATATTACCATGCATATCAAAAGGACTATGTCTTTTTTATATTTTTGATTTTACCTCTGTATATATTAGCTTTCTCACAGAAAGAAATTTCCACAAAACCTACTTCTGTTCTATATTGTCGAGTATTTTATGGATATATTGTCCCGTAGAATCTAGATAAATTTGAATATAAACAACATTTTGGATTGAGAAAAAAATAGTTGAATTTCATTCATTTTGAATTGAGAAAAAATAGTGTGATTCGTGGAGTGTTCATAAAAAAAAATGTTAAGGTGCCTCACAATTCATCACTATTTTACGTTATTGTCGTTAGTGTATTTTAGATAATCCTCTAACTATATATCTCATCAATGTGTGAAAGTGTCTCAATGATAGTGTAAAGGAATCACTAATTCTTTGGTGTAGTAAATGAAGAGACTCAAGATTTTTTTTGACACTAATCAAATAACAAATTCATGATAAAAAAAACGAGCCTTTGAGGTAGGAGTGACGAATGATGTATGAGTTGCAACAAGAGTAATGAACAAGTCGAGAATAAATTTTATGCTGTAAATAGCAATATATTTGAATTCGAAGAAAACCCAAAATAGGAAAATAACTGAATTGAAGGAAGTTATCTAAACAGGAAAATCATTAAGGGTTTATCTAGTGAAAATACAGTGGATTAAGTCGTACACGATATGGAAATATCCCCGTCCTTTAAATATATTAAGTGCAATGTACAATAGATAATATTTGAGCGAAGTGTATTTATCAAGCGAATAGTCTGATTGTTTGATTGTACCACAATAGATCTTATCCGATGCATAAGATATTGTTTCCTTTTTTTCGGAGGGATTTGGAAGGACAAAGGAATTTATGAGTAAAGCATAGTAGGGAATCTCGAACTTCCTCCGTTGTCCTGCCGCAAGCCTAGGCCTAAGCCAAGCCATCACTTGAGGAAGCAATCTCCAGACAAGTCCACGCTCCACCAAATAGAGAAAGAAAAGAAACGCTAGAAGCCATGGCAGGTACTTTGAAGCAGACCACAGGCCAAAAAGACGATGATTACATCAGTCCGTTGCCCGATTGCCTAATCCACCACATCTTCTCCTTTTTGCGCATGAGGGACGTGGTCAAAACTTGTGTTTTGTCGAAAAGTTGGCGGTCTGTTTGGACCACTGTCTCGGATCTCAGGTTCTCCATCTCTTCTTATGATGATGATTGGTTTGTAGAAAGGGTTTTGACCCAATATGGGTGGGCTAAGGTGGAAAAGTTCCACCTTGACATTGAATCAAAGCACTTCTTTACCTCTACTATCGATTCATCGGTTTGCTTTGCGATTGATCATCAAGTGCAAGAACTTCGTCTCAGCTTTAATTTTGGGTGGGCGTGTTACACGCTGTCTCCATTGCTCTATAGTTGCTCTTCGTTGACTAAGCTATGTTTGAGTCGCTGTTGTTTATCATTCAGCGAAAGTATCAGTTGGATTTCGCTTAAGTCCTTGTCCATTCAATACATGGACATGAGTGATGATGTTCTGCAGAAAATTTTGATGGGCAGCCCTGTCCTTGAATACTTGAATTTGAAAAGATGCTGGGATGTAAAAGGAATTCATTCGACCAGTTTGAAAGAGTTGGTGATTGATGATATTCAAGTGGGATTACCTTTGCACATTTCGACTCCTCAATTACTGTCATTGCATGTGACAGATTATCTTTTTGAGATAATAAGAATTGTTGAAGCACCATCCTTGCTGGAAGCGGTATTAGATTTCCACAGTCAAATTAAATCAGATTTCTGCCTGCTGAAGGAAATGCTTTGCAAGCTGCAAAATGCTACTCGAATTCTTTTCGGTTCTTGGTGCGTTCGGGTGAGTATAGTCATCTTGCTTCATAATGGACGTTATCTTTTCCATGTAGCTTTTCACTTAGGATAGTGGACATTAATCTGCCAGAGCTTGAGGACGTTTAGGGGTTATATTGATGAATATTTTATGAGGAAAAAAGTACTGGATTGTGATGTACTTGAGAGAAGTTTAATCTGTCTTATAATTCCAAGGTATACTTTACTAACATAACAAATGCTCTAGCAAATATGCTTTTTTCTTGGTGATCTGACTCTACCTTTTGACGTGGGTAGGTTATGTGGCCTTTGAAGGTAGAAGACGTGCAGGTTTTGCTGCCGAGTTGCAAGTCTCTGACCCTACACGTGCCCATTCCCGAGTTTAGCTTTCCTGCTATAGCAAATATGCTAGCAACTACACCAAATTTGGAGAAGCTGGTTATAGTTTTTAAGCCATTTGATCCGTACTCGTACTCGGTATATTCTCTATACTCTAATTCGCAGGTAAAGATATTTAATTCACTGGAATGTACTCTCCAAAGTCTCTCCCTTCTTTTGTCATCTTGTGTCCATCAATTAGTGAAACTAGTATAATGCTCTGGAAGTTTTGAGACTGTCGCAGCCTATGTTTTAAATGCCCCTTCTTTTTTTTTCTTTTTTTTTGGTCGAAAAATGCCCCTTCTATAATGCTCCAAAAAGTTTCACAATAATCTCGTGAATTCTTGTTTGTCCTCTCTCTCTCTCTCTCTCTCTCTCTCTCTCTCTCTCTCTCTCTCTCTCTCTCTCTGAATGCGGTGACGATTAGAAGATTGTGCTTGCATTGAATGAGTTCAGGTGCCTGAATTTTGGTTTCTCTCGTTTATGATTTCCTTAGATCTGATTACTATAGGCTAGAGTTTTGATTTCACAAGAGATGATTATTCTTTTGGGTGATCAAGATATTGAAGTGAGGAAATTAACTAAATCGTGTTTTATTTGGAACGTTCATTCTGTCTTTTATCTGTGTGCAGAATATATCTGACTTAGACTCCTGCAATTTTGATCACGAGAGCTATTGGCATATAAAGAAGAAGTTCAAGCGTTGGGCTCTGCATCTCAAGAATGTTGAGATTTTTGGATTTTATGATTGTTTAAGATTTAAATATGAGGAAGTTCTCACGCTGGTAAAGTTTCTTCTCGGACATGCATTTGTGCTGGAAAATATGGTCATCGATGTTATGAAGGGATTACAACATCTTGAGGTAGTTGGTTCACGCAAATTGCATAAAATGGCTCGACAACTTCAATGTTATCACAGAGCTTCTAAGCATGCTGCAGTTATACTTAGTAATCTGGAAGAAGAGCATGGAAAGCGGCAGAAGAAACGAGTTAGAGTAACAACAAAATGCATGCACATTGGCCATAAAGATGCCCAATTGGGATAGGAATACTACAAGCTACAACATCAACTAGCTTGGTCCGTTGGTGGTATCATCTCATGGAAGTGTATCAGCATTTTAAAGCAAGTTATGGGTTAGTATTTTACTTCCGAATTGTTTTACAAGGTTGAGCAACGTGTTGCCGTAGCTTTTCCTTCTCTAGCCCTCGATCCAGTAGAGAAGTCTCTATTCAAATAATTAATGCTGTTCTAACAAATCCATACTAAATCAATGATAGTGACAACCCCGCATGGCCTTTGTCAATGCCATTACCATGTGTTTCGTTTTGACCAAAAACAGAAAACACTACGCAAAAAAGAGAGTTTATATCCCCTAAAACTCCCATGGCTTACGGACCTTTTTCCTGAGGGCAATCGTTAGCTTGTCTATTATTGAGAACATCTTGTTATGTACATATCCGAGTGGCTTTCATTAATATTTAAATTTTTTTTGGTATACTATAATTCAGGGGAAAACCTGAAAACTTTGCCTTTTTAATAGCGTAGTGAGTAGAACTTTAAAATTATAATACATAAATCAAACTAGTTATGGGAAATTTGAGTCTATCGAATAAGATAGATAAAAGATGAAGTGCTCGAAATATTATGAACTCGACGAAATCTTGATTTCAATGATTGGGTATGCTGATTCACTTTTAAGCTTCAATACTATGCGGATTCGTTCCATGAGACTCTCCGCTCAGTAAAGCTTCTCAAAATGCTGAAGTTGTTTATTGCTATCCTTGTGGGGGAAATCCTTCTGAAATCATGTGTAGATCTTAACTCTTTGCTCGATCTCATGATGTGATGTTGTTCATCATGTGTATGTTCTAATAGGGTTCGAGCAGTTTGTCAGACGTACTTTTTGGATGTTTGAACTGTCTTTCTTCCTGTTGGTTTTTACTTTCATGCTAGTTTAGTTTATTCTTCAAGATAGATGTATTAAAGGCAATGACTATAATGCATGCCTTTTCTGATCCCTAATGGCTGTTTTCACCAATACAACATAATAGAGATTATATATATTTCTTAGTAGAAAAGCTTTATATATACTGAAACATAATCACCTATGGTTATCCTGATAGATCAACTCAAATCACAGTGAAAGAAACTGTGACATTACACCATGTCTCATGAATATTCTGTGACACTATGCTTTGTATCTCATTGAATCAAACTATATGCGAGTGGACCAACCTCGCTTTACTAGCTCCAGTAAAAATCAGATCATCTAGCTTTGAATCCCATGGTTACAACCAATTGTGACTACAAGAAACAATAGTAGCAGCAGTTTTCTTCTCTTTGTACAATCTACGTCTTACATCACTTTTGATGGCAAATAATACCTGCACACTAGAAACACTTCGCACATAATGAATTTTGTCGTTTCTGGCTCGCCAAACATGACTTGCTTTTGAAGTGCATAGAAGCCCATTCCAGCTCGACATTATATCATTGTTCTCTGTATCAGTTTTAATAAAGCATCCGATTCTCCACTTCAATGATAGTGCTTCACAATTTCATGGGTTAAAAGAACATTATCTACAATGCTTCTCCTTCAGTGAAACAACTTCGACTGGGATGAATATATTAAGGCAAAATCCTCAGTCTCAGAGAAATTATCCTTCGGTGGTGCAATTATAGATTACATCACGGCATAAAATTGGTCTAAACTAAGACATCCTTGATGGATTGGGAACTTTTTGCACTAATGTTATTCTTGTTGCATTAATAGCACCCAGAAGCCTAGAAGAGGAGAAAAACAATCAAGCAGAGCCCTGGTAACATCAGCACCAACAATATTCCAGGCTCTTAAAGCAAGATGAGTATCCGTCAGGTCCTGGACTCTTATCCTCTTTAATTGTCCAATTGCTTCTTTAACGTAACCAGCTGTAACAGAGGATATAAGAGTATTAATGTCCTTCTGGGATAAAATAGAAGTTCAAGATGGATCTCAACTCTTCCTCTAAACCTCCATTACACTGAGGATGTCCCACCCAGAAGATCCTTACAGAAAGAAATTGCTTCGTCTATAATATGATCATATTTTTTCGAGTCTCTCACCATTAGAATTGTATAGCACTCCGACAATATTCTTAGCATTTCCTGCTTTAACAACTATGAAAAAGTAGCCAGACTTCTGATCGCACCATTTAATCCAGGATTTCCTGCATTTTTTCTTTGAAAAACCTTCTTCAGCAGCTTTAAGAGTATCTAGTAGTGTAGCAAGTGTCCTTTCCTCTCTCTTCAAGTCATCTGTGGCAACATTAAGCAGGTCGGTGAGATTCCTGTAACATTCTTTTTCACTACCACTGTCAACTAAAATCATTGGTAGAAAAAAGTCTATAGTATATATACATGTAACAAATGGCAAATTATTCCTCATTGATTGCTTAGTGTTGCAGATTTTTCTGCACTCAAGAATTTTCATGTCTCCCACCATTTCAGTATGCAAAGCATCTTTCTGGGAATAGTATTAGGACGATTGATTTTGATTTAATTCATGTTGTTCTTCTGAAAGTAGAAAATTTTTGTTTGTAAATCTGTTTATCTTTTACAATAAGAATTATTTTGTCTTTTCTCATCTGGTCGAGCCTTTCGGCAATTCTTCGCTGGTGAAATCTGACATGTCCGTCATTGGACTTGCCCCATCACAAGTATGAGTAAAAAGCTCAATGACCTTGCAATTAGTTGGAACTTACCCAAAAGCCTCAATATGTACACTTGACAGTGTAAGTTGATATTTTAACGAAAAATAAGTTAAGTTGGAGTAAGCGCTTGATTTGGATGCGGTGTATCATGCATTCAATTTACAATCTATCTTACTAAGATTAATTTTGTAGTCAAATTTGTCATCTTATAAATGGAGGATTCTCATATGCACGTGAGGCATAGAGTGGGAGGTCATAAGAGTCTATATCGTAAAATCGATTTTCGATGGAATGAAAAAGACATATATGGTAGAATCGTAAGCATAGAATACGACCCTAATCGAAATGCATCCATTTGTCTCATACACTATGGGGATGGTGAGAAGAGATATATTTTACGTCCCAGAGGGGCTATAATTGGAGATACCATTGTTTTTGGTACAAAAGTTGTGTATCAGTGTAGATCAATGGAGCGAAATGATTCGAAAACTCGTGTTGTGCTAAAAATACAATGGCTCTTACGTACTGTGGCTCAATTTATAGTAGGCTGATAAGTTTTAACAACTACCTCAAAATTGATGAGAGGGCTCCAATATTCCTTCATTAAGTTAATATCCACATTCCTAAAGCATGGTCTCATTAGGGTAAATAAATATTTTCTAGATTAAATATTTTAATGAGTACAAAAGTTGTAATCCATATGTACACTTCTTAGTGTAAATTATTCATTCATTGACAAAATGAAGTCTTTTGTCTCGATTGCTCCATAGAAAAATTGTAATACATTGGTGTATAGGTTCAAAGTTAGGATCTCTGTGTCTCTTTTTTGCTTTCAAAAAGGTTGGGAGTTTTCGGCTTTGTTTCACTCTCCCATCAACGACGGCCAGGTGAACATCGTCTGGGCTTTCCAAATAAGGTTCGTTCACCCTCCCATCAACGCCACCCCTTCATATGCTGCCGCCGGTCGCACACCACCGCTCGGTCACACACCGCCGGTGCCCACCGGCCCTCGCTCAGGTGGCGATCTCAACCTTTGTTCATAGAGTGGGTTGGAGAAAGGGGAAGAGAAAGAATTGGGATTTTCACTTTTATAAATTTGGTTTTTTTATTCAAAATATTTTTGAACAAAAAATGCCCTTGTTCCGGCTACCGGAAGAGTCACATGCCCAGGCCCTAATTCGAGATCAATATCTATCCTAGACCCTTTCTTTGAGAAAGTGAACTCACTTCGGATCCTTATTTGAAAATTTTCTTAATTTTTATGTTATAAGTGGCAATATGTTCAAATTCGAAGAAAACCCAAAATAGGAAGATAGAAAAAATCATTAAGGGAATTGTATCTAACGAAAATGCAGAGGATTTCCCCATCCTTTAAAATATATTTATGAGTTAAGCATAGTAGGCGAATTGGAGAAAATATTAGGTGAGTTTAATACTCCACGTCACCTGTGCAGCACACCATTCAAAAGTCGACATTTGGCAATTCGGGCCCACCTTCTGACTCCTTTGTCTCTCTCCCCTGCTCCGTTGCTTTTGTGATCATTGGACGTTATCTCTCTCTCAGTTCAGGACTCCGTTGCTTCCTCTTCGTCCCCCTGCTCTTCCCGCTCGACTCACAATCCGAGTACCCCACACAGGGCTCCACCTGAATCTCCGGAGCCGGACCGGAGCTGCATGGGGCACCTCCGACGGCACGATCTCGAGGATCTCCTTCGAGATGGGGGCGTGGCGGCCGGCGCGTTGAGGTCGGCGGGGTGCTTGGCGGCGCCCTTCCCGCCGTCGCGGCGGTGGGAGGTGAGGCAGAAGGAGAGGAGGAAGAGCGCGACGATGATGAGGGAGCCGAGGAATATACCGACCGACCCACAGGAGGAGGACGAAGATGGAGGTTGGCTTGGACAGGTTGGTGTTCACGAACGACAAGTTGTAGACCGGCATCTTCGGATCGAACCTCTGCCAGAAAAAAATCGGGCCTTTTTCAGCGAACGGAGGCATGGGTGGTTTCGATCGTGAAGAAAAAGGGGGAGAGAGAGAGAGTGGAGTCGTGAACGGAGCAGTGCAAAGAAGATGAGGGAGAGAGGGAGGAGAGAGAGAGTGTCCATGTGTCTAACGGAGGGAGGAGATGAGGGAAAAAGTAACGGAGAGACAGAAAAAAGTAACTGAGCAGGTGAGAGAGACAGCGGAGTCAGAAGGTGGGCCCGAATTGCCAGATGTCGACTTTTGAATGATGTGCTGCATAAATGACGTGGAGTATTAAATTCACCTAATATTTTCTCGAATTGGGATTCCTGAACTCCCTCGGGTGTCCCGACGCCAACTTGGATTGTCGCTTGTCAGGCACAGCGTCCACGCTTTCTCGGAAAGAGAAAGAAAAGAAACCCAAGAACCCATTCGTAAGCCATGGCAGGTACTGAGGATTGTCCGTTGCCCGATGACATAATCGAGCACATCTTCTCCTTTTTGCCCACGAGGGACGTTGTCAAAACTTGTGTTCTGTCGAGGAGGTGGCGATCTTACTGGATCACCGTAGACATGGCCACGGGCCAATTTCGGCCCGGAACCGGCCCGGGTCAAACCCTGGACCAGCCCGTTGACCGGGCCCGCGGTTCAGAACCGGAACCAGCCCGTGGCCTACTGGCCCGGTTCCAGTTCCAACAATTTTGGAACCGGCCCGGAACCGCCGAATCCAGGCCCGGTTCTCAAAAAAAAAAAAACTTTGATTACATTTTAAGTTCAAGCTCCATCTTTTTCTTTCTTTTTTTCTCCAAATTTGATTACAATGTACATTTTGATTACATTTTATATTGAATAATTCATTATTTTATAATTTTATAATTCATTATTTTTTTATTTCATAATTTATTTTTTTAATTTTTACAGCCTGGTTCAGAACCGAGCCGGAACCGGAACCGGAACCGCCAGGGGCGGTTCCAGTTCCGGTTCATACATGAACACGAACCAAAATCGGCTGATTCCGAACCGTGACCATGTCTAGATCACTATCTCAGATCTCAGGTACTCCGTCTCTTCTAATCATGACTCGTTTGTGGACAAGGTTAATTTTGAGGCTATATGGGAGGGGTAAGGTGAGAAAGTTCCACCTTGACTTCAATTCAAAGCAATCCTGGCCCTCTAATATTAATTCATGGGTTGACTTTGC